TAGTAGTAGTAGTAGTAAGTAGTAGTAGTAGTAGTAGTAAGTAGTAGTAGTCGTTAGTATTAGTAGTTGCTTGTTGTAGTAGTAGTATTTCGTATTAGTCCTTAGTAGTATTAGTAGTATTAGTAGTATTAGTAGTTGTAGTAGTAGTAGTAGTAGTAGTAGTAGTAGTAGTAGTAGTAGTAGTAGTAGTAGTAGTAGTAGTAGTAGTAGTAGTAGTAGTATTACTAGTAGTAGTAGTAGTAGTAGTAGTAGTAGAAGTAGTAGTAGTAGTAGTAGTAGTAGTAGTAGTAGTAGTAGTAGTAGTAGTAGTAGTAGTATAAGTAGTCGTAGTAGTAGTAGTATAGAACCTTGAAAGATCAGAGGGAGGGGGGGCCCCGACCGGTCACTCACTGTCCCTGGGTGCGTGGCTGAATGGATTCCTCTGGTCGCGATTCGTGTTCTTGTTGTTGTTGTTGTTTGTGTGTTGTTGTTGTTTGTTGTTTTTTGTTGTTTGTGTTGTTGTTGTGTTGTTGTTGCTGTTGTTGTTGTTGTTGTTGTTGTTGTTGTTGTTTGTTTTTGTTTGTTGTTTGTTGCGGGTCGTCCCCACCACGCACCCCTCCTCCGCGACCAACCCGCGACGCCACCCCGTCGACCCACCCCGCGACCCACACCGCGACCCACCCACGACCCACCCCCGCTACCCACCCCGCGGACCCACCCCCGCGACCCACCGCCCGCGACCCACCGGCCGCCCACCCCACGACCCACCCACGACCCTACACCCGCGACCCACCCGCGACCCACGCGCGACCCACCCCGCAACCCACCCCGCGACCCACCCGCGACCCAGGTTCGACCCAAACCGCGACCAACTCGCGACCAACCCGCGACCCAAACCACGTTCAGGGTACAAACCACATTTTTCGGCGCCTGCGGCGGGCATCTTTTGCATTCGTTTCAGGTGGAGAGCCCGCGGCCCACCCGCGACCACGTTCAGGGTACACGCAATTGTTTTCGGCGCCTGCGGCGGGCATCTTTTGCATTCGTTCCCGGTGGAGAACCCGCGGCCCACCCGCGACCCAAACCACGTTCAGTGTACAAACAAATTTTTGTCGGCGCCTGCGGCGGGCTGCTTTTGCATTCCTTCCTGGTGGAGGTGGAGAACCCGCGACCCACCCGCGACCCAAACCACGTTCACTGAACAAACCAATGCCGCACAAGCGCGGCGGCGGGTTTTTGCATGCCGTCTGAGCCCGCAACGACCTCTTCAAGCCCCGCGCATCCACACCAGCCCGTCCAGCAACTTTGCCCTGGCGAGTTGCCTTGATCAGAGAAGTCGGGGAGCATAACATGGAACAAATGATTGCGTTGCCGTTATCTTGGGAAAGGAGGGGGAGGCAGGAGGAGTAAACAGGGGACGAGGAGGACGCGGAAGAAGAGAGGATGTAAGAAGAATGTGGAGAAAGAGGAGGAGGAGGAGGGGGGATGAGGAGGGCGAGGAGGGGGAGGAGGGGGGGATGATGATGATGGACGACAATGGGAGGACGATGATGGAGGCCGATGAGGGGGAGGACGACAGTGGGAGGACGATGATGAAAGGACGAGGGGGGGAGAGGGAGGACGAGGAAGAAGAGGAGGAGGAGGACGAGGTGGAAGAGGAGGATGACGATGACAATGAGGACGAGGACGAGGAAGAGGAGGAGGAGGAGGAGGAGGAGGAGGAGGAGGAGGAGGAGGAGGAGAGCGCCATCGACAGGGAAGGTGGGGGCCACGAGGTCCGCCGGCTCGACGATGCCCGCGTCGCCCACGCCCGCCCCCTCACTCTTATCCGCAATTGCGGGGTGCTACGTTAATCATATTAATATTGATGATCCTCCTCCTCCTCCCTCCTCCTCCTCCTCCTCTTTCCTCCTCCTCTTGCTCCTCCTCCTCATCATCAGTTCTCCTCCTCCCCCTGCACCCATCCGCCCTCCTCCCTCCTTCCTCCATCCTCCTCGTCCTCCTCCTTTTCCGATCATTACTATAGTTCTTCCGGTTGGTAGCATTAGTAGTAGTACTACAGGTAATTCCGATGTTCAAATCCTACCTCCTCCTCCTCCTCCACCTCCTCTCCTCTTCCTCCTCCGTCCTCCTCCTCCTCCCCTCCTCCTCTCCCCCTCCTCCTCCTCCTCCTCTTCCTCCTCCCCCCTCCCCCTCCTCCTCCCTCCCCCTCCCCCTCCCCATTCCCCCCTCCCCCTCCACCCCCTCCCCCCCTCCCCCCTCCTCATGTTTCCTCAATCTTTTTTTCTATTCGTATAATGTTGAATTGTGGTTTTTACTTCTTCTTCTTCGTATTTCTTCTCCTTCTATATCAGTTCCATTAATTAATCCGCCTCCTCCTCCTCCTCCTCCTGTTTTCTTAGTCTTCTCTTATTCGTCTTGAATTCTCCTCCCCTCCTCTCTCCTCCTCCTCCTCATTATTCTTATCCTTCGTCCTCCTTTAAGTATTTAGTATTATTGGTTGTTTATCCTCCTCCTCCTCCTCCTCCTCCTCCTCCTCCTCCTCCTCCTCCCCCACCTCCATCCTCTCCTCCCTCCTACTCCTCTCCCTCCCCCTTCCCCCTCCCCCTCATTCCTCGCCCCTCCTCTCCTCCTGCTCCTCCTCTCCTCCTCCTCCGCCTCCGCCGTCCTTTTCCTACCATTAAATATTTTCGTTTTCGTCGATATATTTGTTTGATTAAACCCTCCTAATCCTCCTCCTCCTCTCTTCCTCCTTCCCCTTCCCCGTCCCCCTCCTCCTCCTTTTCGTAGCATCCTTCTTCGTATGCTTATGGTTTATTGTGGTTCAATCATCCTCCCCCCCTCCTCCATCACCCCTCCTCCTCCTCCTCCTTCTCCCCCTCCTCCTCCTTTCGTGCCCTCATTCATAGTATTCGTGTTCGGTTTCTTCTTCTTATTCTTCTTCGTAGTCATATGATTATTATTATTAGTGTTAGTATTGCGATTAGTATAAGTAAGGGCTCACTTCTCCTCCTCCGCCTCCTCCTCCTCATCCTCCTCCTCCTCCTCCTCGTAACCATAGTATTACGATCTTCTTATTCGTCCCTTAGTCGAAATACAATTCTTCTGCTTCTGCTTTCTTGTGTGTTCTGAATCCTCCTCCTCCTCCTCCTCCTCCTCCTCCTCCTCCTCCCTCCTCCTCCTCCCCTCCTCCCTGCCTCCCCTCCGCCTCCTCCTCCTCCTCTTCCCCCTCCTCCCCTGCCTCCCCCTCCTCCTCCTCTCCTCCTCCTCCTCCTCTTCCCCCTCCTCCTCCTTGTCGTACCCGGATTATTATTAGTATTATCCTTCTTCGTTTTATTTTCCTTCTGCTTATTAGAAGTCTTCTTCACATGTTGATTAATCCTCATCCTCCTCCTCCTTCCCCTCCTCCTCCTCCTCTTCGTATCCTTATTCTTGTGTGTTATGTATTATTAGTGTCAGTATTCTTGTTATGTTGTTGAATCCTCCTCCTCCTCCTCCTCCTCCTCCTCCTCCTCCTCCCCCTTCCCCACCTCCTTTTCGTATCAGTATTATCACTATGTTTGCTTAATCCCCCTTCTCCTCCTCCTTCCCGGATCCTTCTTGTTATCATTATTATTACCAGTCTTCTTCATATGTTTTGCTTAATCCTCCTCCTCCTCCTCCTCCTCCTCCTTTTCGTACCCATATTATCATTATTCGTATTCGGGTTATTCTTCTTATTCATCTTATTATTACGTGTTTGTGTCCTCCTCCTCCTACTCCTCTTCATCCTCCTCCTCCTCTTCCTCCCCCTCCTCCTCCTCCTCCTCCTCCTCCACGGCAGCTACGACTTAGTTCGCTGATGAACTACAGGTCTACTGGGTGCAGCAGACATATTCATTGGCTGGCGCTTGGCTGGTGTTACAATGAATTGTTTTTTCCCCCGCACCTGGCGGGGGCGTTCGGCTGCCAGTCCTGGCTGGTAGAGGGCTGGGGGAGGTCCCCGTGAGTCCATGGCACTGCTGCATTGGGGTACGGTGTCGGCAGCGAGTTCGGCAGGTACTCTGTTTTTTTTTACTTGTTGTTGTGGGGCCCACTGGCCCCCGCCTCAGCCGCCGCGTGTTCGTCCTTCCGACGCGCGCGCCTCGCCTCGTAGCCTCGTAGCCCCTCCTCCTCCTCCTCCTTTTCTTATCCTTCTTCTTCTTATGGTATTATTCATAATAATAATATTCTTATGTGTTTGTGTAATCCTCCCTTCCTCCTCCCCCTCCTCCTCCTCCTTTTCGTATTCTTCTTCGTCTGATTAATCTTCTTATGTTTTTTGTGTAATCCTCCTCCTCCTCCTTCTCCCCCTCCTCCTCCTTCTCGTATCATTATGTTTTATTGTTCTTAATCGTATTACTAGTATTAGTATTACTCCTCCTCCGCCTTTTCGCATCCTTCTTCTTAGTATTATTATTATGTATTGTTTAATCCTCCTCCTTTTCGCATCCTTATTATTATCCTTATTATGATGACTCGTACTCTTCTTCTTTTTTGTTTAATCATCCTCCTCCTCCTCCTCCTCCCCCTCCTCCTCCCTATCGTATCCTTATTCATATTACTATTATTATCATTATTCTTATCATTATTATTATCATTATTGTTATCATTATTATTATTAGTATTATTAGTATTACTATTAGTATTATTATGTCTATTAGTATTCATCTTCCTATTGTTTGTTTAATCCTCCTCCTCCTCCTCCTCCTCCTACTCTTCCTCCTCCTCCTCCTCCTGCTCCTCCCCCTCCTCCTCCTCCTCCTCCTCCTCCTCCTCCTCCTCCTCCTCCTTTTCGCATCCTGATTATTCTTCTTATGATTAGTATTATGATTGTCATTATTATTATTATTCTTATTATTAGTTTTGTTTTGTTTAGTTTCCCTCCTCCTCCTCCTCCTCCTCCTCTTCCTCCTCCTCCTCCTCCTCCTCCTCCTCCCCCTCCTCACCCCCGCGCGCTCCCTCGCGCGCGCACGAGGGGCGAAAGGGACGCCGGGCGGCACCGTGGCCGCCATGTCCTGCGGCTGCAGCCCCCGCGCGAAGCCGAAGTCCGCGATCTTGAGCGCGGGGGCGTCGGAGCTGTCGCACAGGAGGATGTTCTGCGAGGGGCCGTCACCGTCGTCGCCAGAGGAGGAGGGAGACGAGCGAGGAGAAACTTGTTGCCTTCCATAAGCGCACAGCAGCACGGGCTCCTTGAATGCGACCCGGAGCATAAAGCTCCCTAGACCTCTGGCGATCGCCGTCTGTCGACTGTACAATCGAGTACCCGTCCCTCAACGATTACTTCACAGAACGACTACTTTACGAGAGACGAACGAGGAGGAGCTCAGAGCCGATCCAGACCGGCTTCGGGAGCCGCGACACGGAGCTGCCACCCGGCGACCCCGCAGGTGGCCGCTGCCCTCGCGGGGCCGCGCGAGGGGCGCGCGCGCGCGCGGGCGAACGCCGCTGCGCGTCGGAGAAAAGGACCGCCAGGCAAGGGCAGGCGCGACAACGGGAGTGAATGAGGAGCGGGAGGAGGAGACGAGCGCGGAGAGGGGCCATGTCCTGATTTATCACTCCTCGAAGGCCCCTTGGCCGAAAATACCTCTCGACGCCGACGAACTCGGCGGAAGAGGGCAACCGCAGCGGGGGGCTGCGCGGGCGGGGCGACGGGAGGAGGGGAAGGAGGAGGAGAATGAGGAGGAGGAGGGCGAGGAGGAGGGGGCGGAGGAGGGGAGGGAGGAGGGGGAGGAAGAGGAGGAGGAGGAGGAATAATAATAATAATAAGAAGAAGAAGAAGAAGAAGACCAGACACGGGAAAATGCACCGCGCGAAAACATCGCTGTCGGCAGTTCGGGCAATCGCCCCTTGCGCTCTTCAGCGCTCTAGGAAGAAGGATAGAGCGCGCGCGCCGTTGGGTGGCTTTTCACGGGAGCTCCCCGTAATCATGTTGCTTTCAGTTAAGGCATACTAAGGCGCGGTGCGGCGCACATCGCACGCCTGCTTACTGCGGACGCTTGCCTGCGTTGGAGACGCACGGAATGCGCCCACCAACGCAAGGAGGCAACGGCGATGGCGAAGTTAGGAGGCCAAGACCTCCAGCGCAAACGCCGTCACCAGAAAGCGCGCCCGATGGGGTGGTCCTTAATTTGCCTTAATTGGCTTAATATGACCTTAAGTGGATTTGAATGACCTTAGTTGGCCGTGGATGACCTTAAATAGCAGCGGCAGGTGGTCCTCAATTGGCTTTAAACAACCTGAAATAGCATGGAATCGTTCGTTGTGCGTTGATTCTGAGCTCGCATGAAAACCCACCCAAGCGCTGGCAAGGGAACCGGCGTTGCGTTCAGACGGCCACGACAAGCTGATGAGGAGAGGTCCGCGGCCCTGGTCCGCGCAACGGAGCCGCGCGGCGAGTCGGCGAGCTGCTGAAGAGAGGAGGAGAGAGAAACCAATGGACAACGAACACCAGAAGGGCACGCGTCGACCATGTTCATCTGCGGTGGCCACACAAGGCGGGGAGGACACGCTTGAGGGGGGGGGGGGCGCGTACTGGGTACCAGGCGCAAATTCAGATGAGACCTCACCATCTCTGGGAGGCTGCGAACTGCAATGCAGCTGCCGCATTCGAAGGCTGCTTGGAACGAGGGACATAGTGGGTACCATGTACAGATACAGATTCGACCTCGCCATCCATGGGGGGGCTGCGAATTGCGAAACTATCGGCACTTTCGAGGGCTGCTGGGACGGGGGAGCATAATGGGTGCCAGGCGCAAATTCGGATTTGACCTCGCCATCCCTGGGAGGGGGGGGGGCTGCGAACTGCAAAACTGTCAACACCTTCGAGAGCTGCCGGGGGTGCCAACATAGTGGGTGCCAAGCGCAGATTCAGATTGGACATCGCCCTCTCCGGGGGACTGCGAACTGCAAAGCTGTCGCCGCATTCGAAGATACTTGGGGGGGCACCATAGCGAATACCATATGCGAGTTCAGATTAGGCCTCGCTATCCCTCGGGGGCGGCGGACTGCGAAACTGTCGGAAATTTCGAGGGCTGCTGAGGGGGGTCCAAAAGAATCTCGCCTTGCGCAGATTCAGATTCAACTGCGCCATTCACATTAAACTGCGCCACCCCTGGGGGGCTGCGAACTGTGAAACCGTCGCCACTTTCGAAGGCTGATTGGGGGGGGGGCGGGGAGGGGGGGAGGGGGGACGCATAATCGGTGCTGGGCGCTGATTCGCATTCAACCTCAGCATCCCTGGGGGTGGGCTACGAACTGCAGAGCTATTGACGCCTTCGAGGGTTGCTGGGGGCGCCAGCATCGCGGGTGCCAGGCGCAAATCAATATTCGACCTCGCCATCTCTGGGGGGGTGCGAACTGGGAGCGTCGGCACTTTCAAGGCTGTTTGCAAATGGCGGGGGCGCCGCCATAGTTGGTGCCATGCGCAAATTCATATTAAAGCTCGCCGCCCCTGTGGGCAGCGAATTGCGAGCCTGTCCGTACTTTCGAAAACTGAGTGGGCGGGGGGCAGCATGGGTGCCAGGCGCAGATTCAGATTAGGCCTCGCCATCCCTGGGGGGCTGCGTACTGCAAAACTTGTGCCACTTTCGAGGGCTGCTGGGGGTGCCACCATAGTGGGTGCCTGGCGCAGATTCAAATTTAACCTCGACAGCCCTGGGGAGCTGCGAGCTGCGACGCAGTCGCCACGTTCGAGGGCGGTTGGGGGGGGCGGGGGGCGGCGTAGTGGGTGTCAGGCGCAAACTTAGATTGGACCTCGCCATCCCTGGGGGGCGGCGAACTGCGAAACTGCCATCACTTTCGAAGCTGCGGGGGGGGCAGCACACTGGGTGCCAGGGACACACTCAAATTCGACATCGCCATCCCTGGGGGGCTTCGAACTACGAAGCCGTCGCCACTTTCGAAGGCTGGTGGCCCTGTTCCTCCTTCCACCGTCCCCCTGCTGCTGCCGCGCTGACTTTTCGGCCCCCTCTCGCGTCCTTCTCTCGCGCTTCGCTCCCACCCCTCCATTTCCTCTTCGAGCCTGGGGCCTCAGTCCTCGGCCTTATGATGATGCCCAATGAATCGCGTAACGCGCGCGCGCCCCATGTAGCTCGCACGACAAATAACGGTCCTCACAATGCCACTATCCATAACAATGTGGGCAAACGAACCTGGTCACTTGATGCATGTGCCGGGCACGTCACAGGGTATGTGTTATGAACATGCTGAAGGCCAAAAGTGCCCTTAAGGATTCGTAGAAACGCTCGTACCTTTGGCTTGGAAAATTCACTTTGCAAAGCCATGGTTTAAAACATGTTCGGGGCACTCGGCTTTGACATCCCTGCGGAACCTGAAGTTGTTGAAGGGTTTATGCCTGTGCGCGCGACGACGCGCGCATGTGCACTTCGTCAAATGCTCTGCAAACGATTATTGGGCGTTTATGATTGTTGATAAACGAGTGTGCGCGCATCGCTTGTTCGTTGCAGAAGGTGGTGGGGGTGGGGGGGGTCGAATTTGGCTTGGCTGGGGTGGTACGAATTCATTTGAAAGCGAACGGTAAGGCAAAATCACACGTATACTGCACTTCCCCAGGGGGGATCGATGATCCCGGCCTCGGGGGGTGGTAGATCCGAACTCTTTGCAAAAATGGGGAATCTATGTTGTGTAATTCACCCAACCGAAGTTGAATCAACCCCACTGCTCGCGCAACCACCCCGCCCGCCCACCCACCCGCAATTTGGTTTGCGAAACCCATGCGGCGGCGATTGCCATGACTGCTTGGCGCTGGCTGGCACATGGCTGCGGCCGCACTAGCGCGCGAAGGCTCGTGCGCAGAGCGGCCAGGCAGTCTGGCGCGATCGACGCGGCCGCGATGGCGCTGACCGCTGGGCACTTCCCAGCGCGTCTCGCAAGCCGCGCTGGCGCACGGGCATTTCAGTAAGAGGCGGCGGCTCGGGCGGGCGCGGTATCATGGCGACGTCGACAACGGCAGACGCGGCCATGATAGTAGCGATGCTGGTGACGACGATGACGATCACGACGGCAAGGCCAAGGACGGCGCTGATGCTTATCACGCCGATGACGATGATGGTGTCCTCGCGTCTGATGGAAGTTTTGGAAAGATTTCGACATGCGCGCGCGGCCGACGGGCGCGAGTGGCCCGCATGGTGTTATTTGACAGAGATCGTGCCCCCTCTCCCCCCCTCAGCACGCGCGCAAAAGGCGTTCGAATGATTTCGGCATGCGCGCGCGAAAGGCCCGTTTGGCCGCATGTGATGGAAATCTTGACAGACCAATGGTTTTCTCAAGAGTTCGCAAGAACGGGCGCGAGGACCTTGTTTGAACGATCGTGTTGTGAAACCATGTGTTTTTAACACGTTTTCGGGGCACTCGATTTTGAAATCCTTGCGAAACTGCGTGTTTTTGAAAGATTCCAGCATGCGCGCGCGGCGACGCCCGCGTGTGCGCTTCGTGCCATTTGTCGCAAAAGACTCTGGAAAGCTGACGATGTTTGATAAACGAGTGTGCTCGCATAAGTTTTTTGTGCAGAGTATTGTGGGTCGATAATCCTGGCCTCGGGTGGTGGTAGATCCGACTTCCTTTTTAGAAAAGAGAAGCTAGGCAGCGACGCAGCGGCGACGTGGCGGCGACAACGACAACATAGCCGTCAATCCGGCAGACAAGCCCAGACGACAGGCGGCGACGGGGCGGCGACGGCGACAACATAGCCGCCAGACCGGCAGACAGGCCCAGACGACGGGTGGCGACGAGGCGGCGACGGCGACAGCATAGCCGCCAGACCGGTAGACAAACCCAGACGACGGGCGGCGAGGAGGCGGCGACAGGGCGGCGACGGCGACAACATAGCCGCCAGACTGGCAGACAGGTAGAGCTCCTCAGAAGAGAAATAAGAAGCCCTGAGTGCATGCACTGTTTTGGGAACACACACATACATATACATATACGTGTATATAACTTTACAGGTATAATGCAAATCCAAGCGCACATGCACATACGTATA